CTGGTCACTGTGGCAGCCGTGGGTATACAAGTGGATCTGGAACAGAAGGCAGACCCCAGGCTGTGGAGGTGCACCCTCTCCAGCACGGGGCCTCCACTGGAGCAGCACGGTCACCTTCAGAGTTCAACTCCCATGCAAGACGGCCATACCTTACCTGAGGCTGGCCAGGGCAGTGTCAGACTCAAGATAGCTATCACACCACTCGGGAGCCCCTACAGTGGGAGGGACACCAGGCAATCTTACTCAGGGCCTCCCCAGGGGTTCAATACAGTGGGATGGTGCCCCCTGCCCTGCTATCAAGCCCTAGGCTCTGGAAGGTACAAACGTGCCCCAGAAAGGTGGGCCCCTAACCCAGTGCAGCTGCTGGAGCCAAGGCCAGGCAACAGGAGCAGGTCCCAGGAAAGACCAGCTGAGAAGACCACAGAAGGGGTCTCAGCACCACGGAGCCCATGGCTACCACCCAGCAACCCATCAGCCCTCACTTCACAATGGTCATGTGCTGGGCACCAGAGCGCTTGAACCTAATCTCTACGGCTCCTTCAAAGGCCCCTACAAGAGCTGCCCACTGCCCAGATCAGCCCACATCCAGAACATGGTGGGAAACAGAGGGCTGGAAGTGCCCAGGAGGAACAGTTTCTCTTGGCAGAGTCTAAAGGCGACAATTTCTGGCAACAGTAAAGCTGACTCCGTGGCTCTCTGATCCAGCAGACTTTCTTCCAGCAGGATTGAGAACCCTGACCATGGCTCCCAATACTGCCCAGTTCCATCGAAATCTGGTCCCCTACCTGGATCACAGTCCCAACCCCCACCAGCCCCAGCCAGGTCAGGGAAGGCCCACAAGCAGCCTGGGGTCAGCCCCTGCCAGGCTTGGTGGGATGGGCCATAGGGAAAGGTAGCCAGGGTCTCTGGTCCCTGGTGGAGAGCTGTGTGAAACACTACCTTGCCCAGGAGGGTGCACTGCTCCTGCTGACTGGAGATCAGATGCCGCCACCGGAACCGCAGCTTTCCCATCAGCCACTGCACACAGCGGAGGTCCATGGGGACTTCTGCTCCCATGTGTAATACAGGTGGGCCAGAGCTGGCCAGGGCCCCACTCTGGAGAGGTAATAAGGGTTAGCCCCTATTTCACTTTCTACCCTACCTGAAGAAGGGGCAAGGACAGTAAGAGCAGTGGAGGTACAGCCACAGACCTAGCTGCCTGCACACTCTCAGCTAGACAGCCAGGACAGCCCCAGCAAGGGCTGCCCTCAAGTCTAACATGGGATGGCCCACAGGTCATGGGACATGGGACACCCTGGCATCTGGACAGAGCTGGGCCCAATTACCCTTATTACACACCCACCTCAAAATCAGGCACCTGGTCGCCCAGTTGGACGCGAGTCTGCACCAGTAGCCGCTCAATCAGAGGCTCTCGGGCCAGGAGCCAGGACAGGGCCAGCAGCAGCTCCCGGCTGCCCTGGGAGCCATCCTCCGGAAGCTGTGCCAGCACAGGCCTCGGGTAGCCCTGGGAGCACAGCACTGCCTTCACCAGGCGGGCTTGGGCCTCTGGAGTAAAAGACCACCAGCTCAGGGAGAAGCCTACCTAAAGTGGATATCATCTGTACTCCTTCAGGACCCCCAAATAGAGGAGACAGGAACAAGGACAAGGACCCAACGCGGGGTAGGGGTTGGGTCCTCCAACCAAGATGAGGGCACCATACCCTAACCTGGAAGGAAGGGATTAGGTGTTGACTGAACCAGGGTCCAACCAGAACCAGGACTTCGGTTGAGTGGGAGGGGCCAGAGCCTCCAGGGGTGGAGCCTTAGAGTTGAGCAGGGCCAGTGCCTCCCTGGGTGCGTGGTCCCAGAGCCTTTGGAGGTGGGAGCCTTAGAGTTGGACAAAGCCAAAGCCTCTGGGGCGGAGCCTTACCAAGCTGGGCGGAGCCAGTGCCGCCTGGTGGGCGGGGTCAGCGCCAGGCTAGTGTTGCCAGGGTGGGCAGAGTCGAGACCTTTAGGGCGGGGCATTCCAGAGGACGGGACTTACCCGGGGAGAGCGAGGCCGAGGCACCACGTTCTGGGAGCGGCGCGAGTACGTGGAAGAGGAGCCGCCAGAGCGCGGGGGCCTACGGAGAACAAAAAGCGCGCGGTCAGCGGGCCAGGCTGACTTTGCCTCCGGCAACTCCTGGCCCGACGCCCGCGCCGCCGGCCTCACCGCCTCCGGACGGTCGAACTTGGCACGGCGGAAGATCTCCGGGCTGGGCCCAGCGGGCAGCAGTCTACTGAGCGCGGCAATCGCCTCGGGCAGGGTCCCGGTCCCGACGCCGGCCGCCCAGTCCACCCTGCGCCGCCGCCTCCCCATGCAGCCTGCTCCAGGCCTCCTTGGATCGCCCGCCCCGGCAGATGGCGCCCAATCACAGCGCCGGCCAGGACCCGCTTTTGCGCCGTAACCCAATAAGCGCTGGCCCTGCGTCTATTCGTCAGGCGCGAAGGCACTTCCGCGCTCCTGGGGTGGAGCCTTCGAGGTCAGCAGCACCGAGGCTTCTGAACTCGCTCGCCCAACCTTCGCCCTACACCCGCCTGGTCCAGAACCAACCAATCAGCGTCCCGAGCCATTGACTACCTAGCAACCCGGCGTCGTCAGCACTGAATGAAAAACATGCGCGCCCCCTAGAGCCCCGGAGGACTGTGCAACCAGACTCCCTTCGGCCACTGCCGGCGCCCCTCCGCGGAGCCTCCCCGGCTCGACGCCAGGGGGCGCCAGAGCCTCATAAGCCGCCGCCCGAGCAGATGACCCGGGGCAGCTGGGTGGGGACTCTGTGAGTAACCTCGCCCGACGAGCTGGGCAAAGGAAGCTCCAGAAAGGAAGGCCGTCAACTCTTTTATCTGCAGACTCCGGCCCGTCGCCCGTCCCTAGCCCCAGCTCTCTGCCCTCAGCTACCCTGCCCAAACATAGGCCTCACTGTCCCCACCTTCTTTGGGAAGCAGTGTGGCCACTTCCTTCAGAAGCGGAAGTTTCCCACACGACCCAACAGTATCAGTCCTGGTAGGCTGTGAGCCATCTTCGCAAGGACACGCGGGAGGTCACAACAGCCCTATCACATGGCAAACGGACCCAGAGTTCACCCTGGTGTGTGGGAAAGAACCACAGCACGCGCATAATTAGGAATCCTGTCCAGCCGCGGGCAGCCTGGGTGACATCCTCGCGTTCTTCTGAATGCAGGAAGCCCCTGCAAAAGCCCGCGTCAGGTAGGCCGGACCGTGTGGAGTGCCAGGAGGAGGTAAACTCGCAGGGCCCTGGCTGCCGGGAAAGGGCTGGCCAGCGGGCAGGGGGAGAATGGCAGGAGGGAGTCATCAGTGACTGGAGCACTCTGGCACGAACTCCGTGCGCTTCACGTCACTGAAGGTGCGGCTGGGGCGGTGGACTGGACCGTGCGCACACTACACAATAAAGCCGGAAAGCAGGCAGGTGGAGAGGGGGAGGGCGCCCGAGAGAAGGCGGAGGAAACCCAGCTAGAGAGGGAAGTCCGTAGCACCCCACACACCTGTCCGCTTGGCCGCGCCCACTGGAAGCGGGAGCGCGGCGCGCCGGCTCGGAACGTCCTGCTTCCTTGGCCTCAACTGAACGGCGGTGGCAACGTTGTGCCAGGGGTCGCGGCCAACAGACTCGGCTCCGAGGTCCCTGGCCGGGAGTTCCTCCCCCAGTATGGGGTACGCTGCTGGCTTGTTCTCGGCTCCAGGTCCCAGGCAATCCTGCCCTCCATCCCTTTCTCAGCGCCCCCTGAGCTGTGGGTGCGAAGACTGTTCCCCCACCCCCACCCTGCGCGGCTTGATTTCTGATGGACGACAACGGATCTTTTCTTCTTAGGGATTTTGCACTGCTGACCTTCTGCCTGGGGTGCTCTTAACCCCATTTGGGGCTTAGCTGATTCCCACTCTCTTTCTGCAGGTCTCAGCTCGCTGACAGTGCACCCCAAGTCGCCCCAAATGGGGCTGTGAGCTATGTGGGGAAGGGAGTCACGGCGACGGCGCACCACCGGGGAGGCTAGGACCTCGGGTTTGGGAGCTGCTGTCCCTACCCTGGCCGCCAGGTATCGCTGGGCCACAGCCCTCAGCCCTCAGCCCCCACCTCCCACCTGGATTGGGAGCCTCTGGAGCTCAGCATCCTAGGATCCCGCCTGGCTGCCCCACCCCCTCTGCCGCCCTCCAGGATCGCCCTATGACGCGAGCTTTTCGCTCTACAGACCACCCTCGACAGCTCCCCACCCCTTCTTTGCCAGCTTATTCCTACAGTTCACTAGGCTGACCTGGGCTCTTCCCGTCTGCAGATGGTCTAAAGGGGTTTGGGAGACCTTTGGCCAGGGCTGGGACTGAGCTGCCAGGGGACAGTGGGGTTCTGACGGTAGCCCAGTGGGCAGGGGCTAGGTTGACAAAGGAGTTTCCTAAAGGGCCCCCTCCACTGTGCAAAGCCAGGACATAACCATGACAGCACAGGCCACTATGGGGAGTCCCTGCTCAGGGAGGGGCCCAAACATGGGGTCTGGTGTCTGGATGGCTAGCTGCGCAGCTACAGCAAGCCTCTGCAAAAAAAACCACAGCTTGATCTGGGGTAGATGGGGACAAGGGTGGAGCAGCAGGAAGTGGGAAGGCAAGGAGTCCACACCACAGCTCCCCCAAAGCTTCTCAAAAAGGGAAGCAGCTCCAGCTGAATCACTCTCTGACCCATGGCCAGAGTCCTCCCAACACCACCCACTCCCAGGCCTCAAATTCCCTCTGACCCTTTGGCCCAGCCCATTCCAGAACCGCAGAGGAGGGCCTTGGTGGGTCTGGAGGTCAGAGGTGCAGGCCTGGACTCATGCCCTGCAAAGGGGGCCCCAGAGACCTCCCCAGGGGAGTGGGCAACAGTGCCTTCTGCAGCAGGCAGAGCAAGCACCCTGGGCTGGGAGTTCCCAGATGTCGTTTCTTTCCACTATCCACGTGTGCCCAAGTACTAGTGAACACACACACACACACACACACACACACACACGTGTTCAGGTTTATTGAAGGCACAAGGGGCTATGAGGAGCCCTGGGTGTCTGGGGTAAGGCCCGGCATCTGCTGAATGGGCAATGGCCCGGTGGGTGGCCAAGGATAGGGTCTCCTCAACCTGTGCAGAGAGACAGGCATTTCTTGAGTATACCTCTCAGCCCTGCCTCCAGGCCCCTGAGTATCAGACCTGGGGGGACATTCGAATCCTGAGAAGGATGGGCTGGGTGGGACTGGAGGGAGGATTATACCTAGGTTTACTTGAAGGTGTGACTTTCGGCTCCACCACGGCCAAAACCTGCAAAAAGATGTGCAAGGTCAACACAGTATGG